CTTGTCAGAGCCCACCGGTAATGCACATCACCGTCCGAACAAGAAACCGAACTCTGACCCCCGTGGTTACGAGACAATCGTGGTAACCACAACGTCAATGGCCCCAAAATAAAAATGATCGAATAATCACGGCCAAATGCCCAATCACATCTTTATGTGAATGGTGATCAGTTTGTCGGTCATGATGAGCAAAGGATAGACGGAACTGATCAATTTATTTCAGTTGATACCCTTGTAATCAGAACCTTTCAGTTAGGTTGGAGCCACTGATTTCACTGAACCAATTAGGTGATGCTTAAATTATTGATTTAAGTTTGGGGATCTAGACTGATATAAACTGAGAACTCGAGTCAAGTGCTTCCTTTCGAATTGAATCAGCCAAGACATATCCGAAGGCAAAGACTGCGATCAAACGCGGGTGATGTTCACTCTATGTTAATCAAAATTCCTAAACTCCAACTAAACAGTTCTGTCCAACCTGAGCCAAAACGACAAGATTTGCAGAGCAAAAAGCGGCTCAACTCATTACCAGTTTAAGTCTTGAGACATTTGCATGGGTCACAAGGTTTCAGATAGTTCAGTTATTAGCGATTAGAAAGTACATGACAACTTGTTCGACAGTCTGGGTCATCTCGATTATTCCTGTGTATGGTTGGGGAGTCCGACAATATCAAATACTCCATATGCCATAGTTTGTCCCCAAAGCAGCGAAATCCATATGGCATGTAGAAGATAAAACTTTGAATGGGCGTTGGTTTGGTGTGAGCGATCTCGGCAGCCCATCATCATCATCATCATATCAGCCATGAGCCTGACCAAAAGGTACTGTGGCTCGGGCTGCCGCTCACCTCAACAGTGACGTGGAATATCCTAGAAGAAAACGTTACTAAGAAGGTTGAAAATTAATAGAAGTCTAAGCAAAGAACTAGAAATGGTATGGATGCAGGTACGCCATTGACTGCGACACGCCGCCATCTCGGATAGCGTCTCTAACCAGCGGTTTGAGTGATCACGAGGACCCCATCCAGGCAGGCGACAATGCGCCTCTCGCGCAGAGAGTCGAACCCGGGCCGCCTGGGTGAGAGCCAGGAATCTTAATCATTAGACCACGCGGCAGCTCATAGTGAGATCCGCGCATAATCAAGGGCCTGGTGGCCTTCAAAAACGGAACAAGCCGTACAAACAGACAAATGTGTATACCTGTTTGTAGTATGAGTAGACCAGATAGGCATCCGAACCAATGTCCGATGTGTAGGTAAGTACGGAAAGAAAGAAGAAAATCAGCTGATACGGCCGAAAACCGTGGACCAGGAGAAATTCCGCTAGCGCAGTCTGATTCGCTGGATCACTGTCCCATTCTTCTTGTGATTCTGAGACGGCAGTCAGCGGCGGTTGTGCCGGGGGCACCGAATCCCGGAGAACACCAAGCTCCACTGCAGAAGGCTGACCGGGCACACCCGAATCGACATAATCACCGATCCGAACTGTGGTCGATTCATTGTCTATCGTAGTGTACGCACGACTTAAATAGAATGGCGGAAAAAGATGACGTACAGGAGGTAGAAAAGGGACTTGAGGGTATTCTAATTATGAATCTCAGGCTGTTTAAATTCCATGGGTTAACATGGGATTGGCTGTGCAAATAGGAGTATATTCAACAAAGATCAAGACAAACTCTGTGATTAGATGAATAGGCGCGGATATTTAGCAGTCGTTGCCGATGGGCAGATTCAAACTAGCAGGCCTGTAAGTTGGCAAATTACGTTTACAGAGTCTTGAAGGTCAGCCTGCTTAAATCGACGAGACAAGCGCATTCGAAGGTGAATGGAACTCGAATTCGTAACGATAACTTAAAATGTGATCTTAGCAATATTTTGAAGAATCGTCTGGTAAATTGTAGTTGACCGAAATAGTACATACATGACTGACGGCTTAAAATGGACTGTATAAACTGACTGGACCAAATACAATCTGCACAGTGAGGTACCTGTTTAATCCATATAGATTTTTCGACAAGCTGTGATTGGATGAGAGCAAAGGATGGTCAGAAAATAATGTGTTAACTTATAAAGATCGCGATAACCTAGTTGCACAAGTATCCTTTCTTGAGATGAAGATTCCCCTGAACTTCCTACAGATAAAAAAGAGTGCTATCAAATATGGGAGCACGTTGCAGTCGGCAGTTAGCTGGTATCGAAGCAAGAGGCAGCATTTAATGTTGACTGAATCTAAAACTAACAGATCACACTAACCAAGGGTCGGATTAAACAAAAATTAATACACAGTCAATCTATCCAAAATAGACTAAGGTTTCAACAACGTTGTCATCATCGACAGCAATACACTACTGGTTGATTCCGAGGCCCAATTCTAGTCTAGAGCGCCGATGTGAACAGTATCTAAAGTTCCCAGCCTACCAGTGGCTGCGCTAAGATTCTTTGCAAAATTATCGGTTGATCACTCCGTATTTCACATCCGTAAATCGGCGTCTTGGCAATTAATTCACGACACGGCAAACGGTGGATTGCTATTTTTGGCAGGTGACGGCCATCGCAAATAATGCATTTTCTGGCTTTAGATGAGTAAGCTTGTTTGGTTCACACGTACAAACATCTGCCTGTTCACCTGCTAGATGTTTACCTGATGGGGTTATTCGATGCGGGCAGGTGAACGCAAATATAGATTATCAGAATCTTAACATAGTTGGCCTTGGAACAAAACTGCTTTAACCATGGCCTTGTATAAGTTGAACATCACTCACAATTGACCGCAACCTCCGTATCCCCAGAGACGTTTCAGAGAGCCCGTTCCGAAAAGAAGCAGCGGGGCTCGAGTTTCACCTGTGTTAGAGCTTGTTAGTAATGCGCATTGTTGTCATGGCCGGGATTTCAACTCCGGTCATGCTTTCATGAAGCAACCGTGTTGACCACTGCGCCAATGACCTCACATGTGGTCATACAGATGCGATGCTTAAGATTAATTCGGACGCCTTGTTGAAGTCAAAGATGCCCAAATTGGACGAGACCTAAAATATGAACTACATTCTGACCACACTCTCAACATACTAAATGCAGCTTCTTAAGTGAGCAGTCCAGGGAATAATCCTCAAGGTATCACTGTCTAGTATACGAGAAATGTTAGTATCAGCGTCTTGGATCAAACGTTTTCACTTTGGAAGTATAAGGGATATTCCAAAAAGACTGGGTATAACAAGAAATATAGTCTGACAACATATGCCACTTGAAAATGGTCAAACGATACCTTCGTGTTATCCTAGACAAGCCACCATCTAATGGAGCGGGGAGTCAATGTCCCACAAAGATTAGGAAGAATACATTTTAATTTTTGACAGTGAATGTTCTTTTACTCCATTTTGTGATCTGAACTCCTTTCAACCTAAATTCAACTCTAGCTCACGGATTGAAGGTCAATATTGGTTTATCATTCTTAGACACCACTCACAGTTTATCACAGCGTTCGCATCCAGATACTTCAGCCGGTCTCTTTCGAAAAGAAGCACTATACTCGAGTTTTGCTCTTTTTAAGGTTCACTAGTAGTGCATATTCTTGAACCGGTCGGGCTTTGGGCTGCGATCCATGTTCTCATAGTGGTATCATTTTGACCACTGAACGATTAACCTTAAGATAGACACAAGCAATCACAGTAAATCGCTCAGTCACACTCTTGTGTGAGTGATGCTCAGATCGTCCGATCGCCTCGAGAGAGGACAGCAATCAGCGACTCAAATCTACAACCAAGACTTCTTCGTTCAACTGAAACAACAAAAGTCACTAAACTTGCTATACAACGTTTATAATACCGAGAAATGGTGCTGGATCTGAGTAACACAAATTGGACGTCACCAGAAACATCTGAAAGATCAATAAACCACTTGAGCTGAGATGCAGTTGAAGTTTTACTGTACTGTATGGAAATCGTTCCTCAATAATCTAACGCCTGCGGAAAACCTGCTGTATTTTTTAGAAAGCTGATTTTAAACGATTTTTTGGAGCTGAAGGTATAAAACTGGCAAGCACGTCTGAAACAATAAATCCCCTTGAAGCGAATGGATAAGGTGGCCAGAAAACAACGGACAGTATGAAGTCATTTCGCAAATCTTTGACGATCATAACCGCGTAACTTACGTAAGATAAAAAACAAGGGTTATCAAATGAAATGTTCAAAATACAAGTCAATCAGAATAACGGATTACACTCACAACTAGACCCACGGTAAGCGAAACCTAACAATGAATCTTTTGAACGCATAGAGTAAGTTATCGTCGGCCTGGTTGTACATATCGCTCGCGACGCAGATCGATCTGCATGGTTAACATTTTCTTTCAGAAGAGATCTTCGGTTTTATGATACACGTATATAGATGACGGGAGCGTGTGAAATGAATTCACATCCTAACTAGTGTTTTCCGACTATCGTATACGAATATGCACATAATCATCCAAGTTAACACAGAAACCTCCAGCCCATGCACCTTACATACCGATAGGTCCTAAGCAGCTTACCGAACGTCAATCTATGGTACCAACCTTGGGTCAATACACGCACATTTCTACGCGTTGATGAGGTTATATCGATTGGTGACGGGACGTTTGCAACCTAACGGCCAAGATAGAACAATTGGACAGCTGAACCAACGACCCCGGTTACCAAATTCATCAGTATTTTCAACAACATTATTGCTCTTCTTTTCACGGTAGACAGCCAAAACGTTTAATTGGAAATAAAAGTTGTGACCACACGGCCACGGTGTCCAGTTTGTAAAAAAATGTCCAACTACTTATTAGTAACATAATTCAGAACTATTGTCTAGCATCGTTGCTTTGGAAATCTTAGTTATTCTTTACGGAGCCCTATTCCAAGCTAATCTTAGGAGCTTCGTATTCAAGACCAGACTGTCAAATGAAAACAGTAGTATGTTTGACGTAGTCACCTCTCGGAAGGTACGTAGCACCTCTCGGCTCGTAATTGTACAGCGCATACACAATTGGCGGCATTCGGTTCGGATTAACCTGTCACACTGACCGAAATCAGAGGACATCTACGCATTACACTCACCACAAATTGCTAGCGCTGCACTACTTGCTGTTCTAATCACACACCATCATCATAGCAGCCAAGAGCTCGATCAGAAGGTACTGTGGCTCGGGCAGTGGCTCACCACAACAATGACGTGGAATATCTTAGTAGGAAACGTAACTAGGAGGGTTAAAAAAATAATAAAAGAGGGAATAAGATCAAGATGCGTGAACGGAGGCCTTTGTGGCCAGACGGCCAGTGCTGATTAGTCAGCCGGTACATATACACACACAGGCGCATACCGTCAACTCACTTCTCTTTCAGCCGAACGGGAAACTTTGCCCACGTTGTATCAGCTTGCCAGGACCGACGAGTGACAAGCAATTTTGCAGGAAAACCGGGCGTAGTGGCAATAGAATCAGTCGCTTCGGAATTGTGTGTAGAATGTGTGGTGTCACGGAACATAGATAGCAAAGCCCGAAATTATCCCATGCATGCGCAGGAAAGCGCTCAACTGTACTCATACAAGTCCGTGGGACATATTCGTGGTAAATACGAACTGTAAACAAAAACGCATATGTTAATAAAAAGTAAAGTGAGAAATACCCAACGTGCAATGAAGTGTTATTCTTACGAGAAGGCTCCAACAAGTGGCCGTGAAAAACAGGGGCAACTAAGCAACGTGACCTATTAGGTCACAAGGAAGCATAACCTGCTTCTTCAATTCAAACTTGAACAAGTGAAATTCGTCCAGGCTTCTAGACACGTAAATATATAAACCAATGTTAACGAAAAACCCCAACGATAAGTTAATTCAAAACCTAACACTTGGGTGATGCTCAGGTCTGTGCGGCACACTTACAACGTACACTAGACGCAAAAGGGATACAAAGAGTTCTTTCTTTCAAACTGAACAACATTGAAGTTGGTCTATTTTTCTAAAGGACATGTGAAAGCACCAGTTTTTTTGTGTGTACGGGTGAACATAACCAGGATATGATAATGATAACAAAAGATGCTTGCTTTGAGTGTGAGATTACTTGGACAGTATCGAACGAATAGGTTACTGCATCATCACC